GTTATTTGAATGTGGTGTGTTTATTTAATTAGTTCTGTTCAATAGAACGAATCTGTTTTTGGTGATGAATGTTTCAGAAAGAGAAAAATGTATTCATGATGAAATGTAATATCAACGAACAAGGATGGAAGACCGAGGTAGTGGCGTGCATATCGCCGAAAGGAGAACGAATCCCGGTCAATTCGTCCGTATCCGATGGAACTTTCGAATGGCGATGTAACATGAAACCCAACGGCATGATTTCACTTCAACAAGCGATTTCTGAGAATGCAAAATGCGCGAATATCCACGAAGTTGGTCAGTGATACAGATACGCTTATCACTCTCATTGGTTTCTTATTATCGGTGGTTAAAACTCTTACACGCTGACTGTCAATTAAGATATCGATCAACCTCCTTGTCGATTACTGTGTTTATTATGCAATGGTGATTGGGTTATATTGCATTTTATTTATGTAACTACAGTAATCGGTGGTTAGAAATGCGTATAAATGATATGCGGTTGATAACGGCTGATATGATATCAAAGAGCAATCTTGACTGTTAAGGAAGCGTCAACTTCCAAAGAACNTCACTGAAGTTTGAAAGTAGTTGATTGGACGGGAATGCTAATAGAAATGAAAAATGATAATAATAAATTCATAATTGAACAGGTTCGAAGTGGCAAGAGAAGTCGTTTGAATTCGAGTGTCTGAAAGGAGCTCAGCAAAAATTGATCGGATGTGTCATGGACAATGGCGAGAAAATACCGGTTGGAGGTTCGAAAGAAATCAATGGATATGAGATGAAGTGAGTGAGTTGGTGCCTGGTTGGATTAGTGAATGTGATGAGTATCGGTGTTATTGATTTCAGATGTGAACAGCTCAAGAATGGAACTATTCTGATGCACGGAACTCGTAAGGATGCTTCTGGATCAGGACATCCTGCAGGCAATGTGAATGCAGATGGAAAAGTGGAATGCGTTGATTCAACGGGTAAACGTCATGAGGCTGGTAAGCAACAACTTGATAGATATACATATCGATATTGCCACTGAACTAGGGCTTTTGAGATAACGTGGAAGTATGATCTATTGAAGGAACATCATGGATCGAGAACAGTCGTTTTAATAAGACATGCACCCAGCAAGGTCACGTCGAAATACAGAACTGCGTCTCCCAAGATGGACTCCAGGTTCCGGTCGATAGTCAAATTGTGCATGAGCAAACGAAATATGTGTAAGTTC